CCCAGATTCCATGGAACTTGTTTATGGGCTTTGCCTCCTAGAACAGTGGAGTGGTCTGGTTGTTCGTGGGGTGGTACATATAAAGATCCTTCAAAGTAAAACCCAGAGGTGTATGAGTGTGGGTTTTGAGGAGGAGGGATAGTTGGAATATAGAAAGATAGGGGGCGTTGTGGCGAGTATAGACAAGCACTACCTTGCTAATTGTGGCACAAGGTAGGTTTGAGAATGACAATATGACGAGGTTCCCAGTGATAGCAGGCTCCTGACGCACAAACTGTAGTGCTCAGAAGGACCCCAACTGAAAGGGATGACAATGACTTCAAAAGTGGGAAGTGACGATGACAGCAGTTGACAGTGGTAGAAGTGGGAAGTGTTGTGACCACACTGGATCACAAGTAGCAGAGTAGTGAACTTGAGAGTAGAGAAGAAGTCTGGATTGGATATCTTTGTTGTTTTTACAAGGTAAAATACAGGGGTTTATATAGTGAAAAGAAAGGTAGGCTATGCACAGTATAGCTGCGCAAAAAGAATGAGAAAGAACATGAAGGAAGGAATGTACGCTGACAAATCCTGCATAGTTGCTACAGGATAAGATCATCAAAATAAGGGAAAGAAAGGGATAGAACAATGAATGCTGTGAGTAATGTCACAGGTTTGTACAGCCATAAAGTAAAGTCCAATAGCAAAAAGAGAGCAAGAAAATCATGATGTCATGGGAAGATGCAGTAAAAAAAGGGCAAGGCAAAACACTATCAGTATCAACACAGTTCCTTTATTGTCAGTCAGGCATTCTAAAAAAATATGTGTCCATAAAAATGATTCAAAAATCAAAAATAATTGCACTGTAAATGAATGTTCTGCTGAAAAAAAAGAAACTGGAGCCACCGGTCCACCACCTAGTCCAAATCCGACAGTTCCATGGCCTTACCAATGGACTGGTTGTGTTGGACCACCTGATCAAACGAGGGAGGGAGAGGAGTAGTTCCAATTTGGAACAAGTGAGTCCCAGGCAGCGTGTGGTAGGTGTAGCTGTAGCGAAGACGATGGACAAAAGATAAGTGTACCCAAGTGAATGGGACAGCGATGAACATGGGCGACACAAGGGGATGAACCTTCTCCAGCTCAAAAACTACCCACCCACCCTCCAACCAGGCAAGACGAGTGACCGATATTTTGATAGTATGTGATGGCAGATCGACGTCATGAAGATGGACCTGTTGCCCTATTTGGACCGGCCGCCGGGGCTTTGCTGATATCAGCAGTGGCACGTGGTAGTCAACGGATCGGCAACGGAAGCGGATAGGAAGTGGTGACATCAGAAATGGTGGGGGTGCAAATAAAATGAGGAGGAGGAGGGTGGAGGTGACGAACAAGTGGATTAGAATGGGGATCCAGAAACGACCGTCAGGTGAGAATAAAAAGGAGAGGAAGGGGCCCATGGTGGGGCTAGGCAAAGGAAGGGGAGTAAGGGAAACAACAAAAGCGAGGGCGCAATGCAATGTGTAGCCAGTGGCGACGCGAAAATTTGCCGAAATGCCAAAACACGGAAAGTACCGGATAGAAAAGCAAAGGTGAGCGTGACTGGATTGCCTAATAGAGGTGGTGCTGATCAGCCACAAGTTCAAAACAGGCAATATTAATTACTATTCCACGTGGCACTGTGCCTGTGTGGCGCAAAGGCAAGTCTTTTTGAATATTTGCTTCGTTATTGACACCTGTCCATGCTACCAATCAACTTTGGTGCATGACAGCGCTAACGGCATCTTCATAGATCAGGTCTGAGCGGAGTAAATTAGACTCCCCCTTGTAAAATTAGATGTATCTATTCCCGTCTATAACATTGACTGTACGTTTAACGCAGGTGGCTGCATTACGCACAAATGTGCTTTTGTTGTTGAGTATCAAGGACACAGGGAGCAAATCACTGCCAAAGCTACCCAACTAGGGAAGATTAATTTAATCTTAGGCTGGACCTGGCTATTTAAACACAATCCTGAGATTGACTGGCAGACAGGGGTTGTCACATTGTCATGTTGCCCTCAGGAGTGTCATGACTTGGGTAAGCCGAGTCACGTCCATCAAACTGAGCTTGATGAAAGGATAAACACTGGTCAGATTTATGCCAAGCTTAGATCTTTAGATAAGATTGACAATGATAATGATGAGGTAAAACCCGAGGAAGAGATTAAGAGGCTGATACCTCCCGAGTACCATGACTTCTGGAAAGTCTTTTCTAAACATAAATCAGAGCGCTTCCCAGAGGCTAAGCCTTGGGACCATGCTATAGATATAAAGAACACGTTCAAACCTAGAAAGGGACACATGATTCCCCTCTCTGCTCCAGAAAGAGATGGGGTTTCTAGCTTCATAGACAAACAGCTTAGGAAGGGTTACATCAGACCTTCCAAAAGCCCTATGACATCCCCAGTTTTCTTCATTCCTAAAAAAGATGGTAAGAAGCGTATGATTATGGACTATTTTTACGTGAACAAGCACACAGTTAAAAACACGTATCCGCTGCCTTTGATTAGCTAGCTAGTAGACAAGTTGGCTGGCGCCAAGGTCTTAACAAAGATGGATCTTAGATGGGGGTACAATAATGTATGCATCAAAGAAAAAGATGCTTGGAAGGCCGCGTTCACGTGCCGCCAAGGATCCTTTGAGCCCCTTGTTATATTTTTTGGGTTGACCAATTCACTGGCAACCTTCCAGAGCATGATGAATGAGATCTTTGCGGATAGGGAAAACTGTGTCGTCATTTACATTGATAATTTAATAATATTTACAAAGCTGGGCATGACAGGATTGTGCAAGAAGTCTTTTGACACTTACAGGAACAGGACTTATTTGTCAAACCCAAAAAATGTAATTTTAAAGTGAAGGAAGTAGACTTCCTTGGTATGATAATTGGCCAGAACAGAATCAGGATGGATCCTGAGAAAGTTCAAGCTATACTGCATAGGCCTGAACCTACTCACATCAAAATAATTAGGGCCTTCCTTGGCTTAGGCAATTTCTACTGAAGGTTTATTAAAAACTTTGCAAAGATAACAAGAGCGTTGAAAAATCTCACAAAAAAGGACATTGTCTGGCACTGGGTGTTAGTTTTGGTGATTCTGCACCTAGTTATGCTATCTTTTTTCTCTTCTTTCTAAATCACTTTCCTCTTTATTCCTTTTGCTCTATTGTTCAGTATTCACTGAGCATTCTATAATTTCGCCTTTGTGGCTGATTTGTTTACCTTTGTTTACAAAACTTCGGATTAGTATTACAGAGTCTAGTATTCCTATTCTTTAGTTACTCATACTGGACTCTAGGTACTGTACACATTCTGTACTCTCTGATAATAAAGTTACTCATACTGGACTCTAGTTCTGTCCCTGTTAGCTCTCAGCGAGTGGCTAGACACTTCCTAAAAGTTCTCAATTGAACACTGGGGAGCCAAAGAACAAGAAGCTTTTGATAAGCTTAAACAGGCATTCACAACAGTGCCCATGTTAGCATTTCCAGAATTAGACAAAGAGTTTTGGCTAGAAACCGACTCTTCTGATATTGCTACTGGAGCTGTTCTATCAATTAAATGCCCTGATTTATTGCATAGTTTGTTGCCTACAGAGCGCAACTATCAAATTTACAATAAGAAGATGCTGGCCATCATTAGAGCTTTAGAGCACTGGCGGCACTACTTAGAAGGTGCTAGGCACCAGTTTAAAATCTGGAGTATTTTATGACGGCCTGAGACTTGAACCGAAGACAGGCCTGCTATGCGGTGTACTTGTCTAGGTTTAATTATAAATTAATTCATAAGCCAGGAACTTCTATGGGGAAAGCGGACACTTTATCTAGAAGAGAGGATCATGCCAATGGCATCAAAGATGACAACAAAGGTGTCACCCTGATAGATTAATCCAGGGTTGCCAATATTCAAATCAGGCAAGACTCCGATCTTCTAGAAGTCTTCAAGAAAGACATCTCCTCAGAAGAGAAGGCGCACCTTGATGGAAATTCACATTATTTATGGGAAGACGGGCTCTTCCATTACAAAGACAAAATCTATGTGCCTGAGTCCACAAGGATCAAGGCAATAGATAGACATCACAACACTCCAGTGGCTGGGCACCCTGAGTGGCAACAAACAATGGAGTTGATCTCCAGAAACTACATGTGGCCTAGCATGATCAAAGATGTACAGGAATACGTAAAATCCTGTCTAAGATATGCCAGCTGGTCCCTGGCAGGACATATCAGTTGATTTCACAATGGGTCTACCTGAATCAAATGGGTATGATTCAGTAATGGTGGTAGTAGATTGCTTCTCCAAAGAAGTGGTATTCATTCCCACCAACAAAACTATTACCGCCGCTGGTATGGCAGATCTATTTAAAGATTTTGTATGGTCTATCCATGGGTTACCAAAAACGGTTATCTCCAATAGGGGACCACAATTTGCTGGCAAATTTACAAAAAACGCTTTGCCAGATGCTGGGTATCAAACCTAAGTTATCCATAGTGTTCCATCCGCAGACTGATGGACAAACAGAGAGGCTCAAAAATTGAAGCAATACCTTTGTATATTTATTAATCACAGGCAGATGGATTGGGCCAAGTGGCTAAAAATAGCTCAGGTCTCATATAATATCAAACAGTTGTCAGCTACAGGAAAAGCACCATTCAAGGTTACAAGATTGTACCTTCCCAGAATGGGTGTGGAACCTGGCAAAAGCAAAAATAAGGCTGCAGAGAACATGGCTAAAGACATGAAGTTTGTCATAGACAAAATGCGCAAGGCGCTATTCAAAACTGCAGAGCAGATAAAACACAAGGCAGAGCATAGACGCTCTAAGGCCCCTGATTACAAGGTCGGCGACCTGGTCTGGTTAGACACCAACCACTTAAAATTAAAAGATCAGTAGTCTAGAAAACTGACCAAAAAGTGGATTGGTCCTTACCGGATTAAGGAAGTCAAACCCAACACAGTGGAGCTGGAACTCCCAAAACAAATGAGGGTAGTACCCACGGTCAATATTAGCTGTGTGAAACCCTACAAAGGGCTGCTGCCGCGACAGTATGTGGACTGGCCTGAACTGGTTGTAGTCACCCAGGAAGGTGAAGAAGAATTTGAGGTTAAACGGGTGGTGGATGCATGCTTGAAGTGTGGAAAATTAGAGTTCCTAGTCCTATGGAAGGGCTATGGAGATGAAGACAGAATGTGGAAACCAAAAGCCCGTTAGGACAATTCCCGCAATGCTGTCCAAGAATTCTATTCTAAATGTCCCTTGGCTCCTAAAAAGCTTAGGGGCATGGATTCAACCCTTTTTAATTCCCTTTTTCAACTTATACCCAAAAATTTAGCTACTACCTCTGGTACTTGGTCTCGCCTGGAAGTCAAGCCTTGGAGGGGGGGGTAGTGTTGCGATACACAATTTTTGGACCTTTAATTTTCATTCTCCTCTTTAACTTTCTTCTATATTTTTCACACACTGTGCTATGTGGCTCTTTCCATTTTGTTCAAACTCCACCTTCTTACGCTGTGCTGCCTTTCTTTAATTTTAGCTACAAATATCTCACGCAGTGGAGCTGGTCACACAGACTGTGCCCCATGACATCATCAGCCACTGCCTTCATCAACTGTATAGTACACATGTACAAACAACCTGTAGTAGTATATATACCCCAAGAGATCAAGGAGACTCCTCAGCAGAAAGAAAGACATTTCATAGTTGAGTATCAAAAGCAATACTATAGAGGAGGGGAACAGATTACCTTTGGAGCAGGGGTAGATAATAATACAACAGAAGTAGATCATGTCCAACTTGAGCAAGACCTGATGTGGTTGGATTATTGCAATGACACTGTCTTTGGAAAAAATTCACTGGTGATGGTGAGGATGATAAAAGTGGTGGTGGTCACTCAACAATTTTGTCGGCTGTTGCTGCTTTGAAGAATATGGGTTAGTTTTTGTGTGTCAGAACCAAGACCTTTTTGAGCGTTGGAGTTATGGAGTATGGTGATGGAGTGAAGGAGTAATGGAGTATAAGGTTGGGAGTTGGGAGTTGGCTTAGCTCATGCATTAGGCCCTTCTGCGGACCTTGGTCCCTAACTTGTCAGAATGGACGGGGGAGAGTAGCAGAGTAAAGGCCCTTTGGGGAAGAAGCGGAAAGACTTAGAAAGGGACTGGTAAAAAGGCGAGGGAATCTAGTTGATATTTGAACTGCAGGAACAGAGTACAGGAGCTACAACTGATATACTGTTGGAGGAGTAGGAGCTCATAAGGAGTAACTCATAATGTAGGTACAGAGTTCCATGCAGACAATTATCTAGCAAAAGAGAAATATATGTGCAGGGAGTGTATCATAAGGTGTAAACTACAGAGTCCATGAGAAGTACGAGAACATGCATAGGAAAGTGTATGGTGGACTAGAAGTCTGGTGCAGGAGTATTGAAATGGGAGTCCAGGGTACCATGTGGGGGGCATGGGGTTATGCCAACCAGCAGGCCATGAGAAGCATAATCCCAAGATAACCAAAGATTTGGGAGGTTCAAACTTGAGGAAATACTATCTCCTTTGGAGATCTTGATAATGGAGACAATGGAGACGGACATGACAGAACCAACAATGAAAATGCTGATATAGATCCTTCACATGCAGATGGGGACTGGGCACTGCTATTATGCACCAAAATTGATTGGTAGCACGGACAGGTGTCAAAAATGAAGCAAATATTCAAAAGACTTGCCTGTGTACCACATAGGCACAGTGCCATGTAGAATAGCAAGACACACTCACCTTTGCTCACCTCCACCCTCCTCCTACTTGTCTTCTTTGCTCCTCCACCCTCCATCCACTTTTATCACCAATCTGTTGACCACCATGTGCCACTGTTAATATCAGCAAAGCCTCAGCGGCTGGTCCAAATTGGGCAACAGGTCCATCTTCATGACATCAATCTGCTGCCTTCCACTATTAAATCATCAGCCGCTTGCCTTGCTTTTTTTTACTGCATCTTCCCATGACATCATGGTTTTCTTTCTCTCTTTCTGCTATTGGACTTTATTTTATGGCTGTACAAACCTGTTACATAATTTATACAGCATTCATTGTTCTATCTCTTTCTTTTCCTTGTACTATGCATAGCCTACCTTTTTGTTACTATTTAAACCCCTGTATTTTACCTTGTAAAAACAAGAAATTCAATCCAGACTTCTTCTCTAATCTCAAGTCTACTATTCACTGCTATTTGTGATCCAGTGTGGTCACAACACTTACTACTGCTACTACTGTTAACTGCTGTCATTGTCACTCATCACTTCCAAAGTCATTGTTATCCCTTTTGATTAGAGTCTTTCTGAGCACTACAGTCTGTGTGTCAGGAGCCTACTATCACTTGGAACCTTGTCACCTTATTGTTCTCAAACCTATCTTGTGCTACAATCAGCAAGGTAGTTGCTTCTCCATACCCGTCACAAAGCCCCTATCTTCTATCTTCCAACTATCGCTCCTCCTCAAAACCCACACCCATACATCTCTGGGTTTTATTTTGAAGGATTGTTATATGTACCACCCCACAAACAACCAGACCACTCCACAGTTCTAGGAGGGAAAGCCCATACACAAGTTCCGCGGAATCTGGGAGGATTGTGTGTTAGTTTATGCGCTTTCTATCATCAGCAACTGGGAGACACTAGTATGCCAGGATTGTCTCTCCAAAGCAGAGTGGTATGATATTTTGGCAAGTGTAGGAGACTACAATGAGGCCATTCTGGAGCTCACCGGGGCAGGTTTTTGCTTCAAGTTTGATAGTGGGACTACTACCATGGAAAAACGACATCTTTAAAATGCTCTTTCAAAGTCAGTGGTAGGGACCTAAAGGTGAAGGAAGGAAATATAGTAAGAAAGACAGCCCATATCTCCATAATGCCCCTGCACTTGCCCTGGTAGCATGCTGTGTAAGGTTTTTCTCACTCTTTTATTCACAAATTCAATTTAACTGTTGAATGTGCTTTACTTGGCACTATCAATAATAGAATGGTAGATTTCTCTGAGAATTCATTTGCTCCACAGTATGTACTATTTGTTTTCTGGTAATTTTTTATATTTGCCTCATTTAATTTATAGATGGGAGCATTATATGAATCCAATTCAAGAGTTCAGGGAATGTTCCCCAACATATTTGTAACAACCAAGAGTTTGTTACTCTGGCACACAACTCAGACAAGCTATAGAGGTAATGATGAGGGGGTGGTTACCCTTTAGGCTTCAACAAGTTAGTTGTGAGGATACAACAGGAGGACTCGCTGAGGAGTCTCCTTAATCTATTGGGGTATTTATACTACTACAAGCTATTTGTACATGTGTACTGTACAGTTGATGGAGGCAGTGACTGATGATGTTAGAGGGCGCAGCCCATGTGACCCAGCTCCACTGCGTGAGATACTTGTAGCTAAAAATAAGAAAAGGCAGCACAGCGCGAGAAGGTGGAGTTTGAACAAAAGGAAAGTGCCGCATAGCACAGTGTGTGAAAACTAAGAAGGTTAAATAGGAGAATGAAAATTAAAGGTCCAAAAATTGTGTTATGGTGACAATATTTGGCAGGCGTGTTTGGTGATATTAAAGAGTTTGTATGGTGAATAGTTTGCTCTAATTTTTTAATTTTTTATTATTATATTTTACAGAGACAGTCCCAGTTACTTTGGCTTTTTCTAAACCCTCCCATCTCATATTTGACTTTAATACTTTAGAGGAGGCAGCCAGGGCTTTTAAGCAGTAATTTTATATACTTGTAGCTACCACTTGTGTATATTGCGCTTTTTTAATCATTGATCTTTTGATTGTTTTTACATTTTGAAAATAAGTGGAAGTGAAATGATTGGGATTGATCTAGTTAGCTTTGAACGGTGTTTAGGGGAATTAAAGCCATTTATATCAATCTATTGCAAGGCCGTATACAGCTGGGGTGACTTTGATATATTTGGCTTTTTATGCTATAGGCAATTTCTATAATGTATAAGCCTGCATATTTTTGCATCTGGTGCACTATAGTGCATTATAGTGCACACTATAACACACTATAGCAAGGGACTTTGTAAGTGAACAGATCTGAATAATATTTTTGCTATAATAGCATATTTTTTGCACTTTATTGCATTTATAGCCACATCATGTTTTCCTGATGTATTACTGCATTTAGTGGGAAGTTACTGAATCATGGGGTTTTGTCCTGTAGTGGTGAGAGAATATGTTTTGCATATTACATGAGGGAGTATATACATACAATGTGCAGGATGGAGACCCCAGGGTGGTCAGTACCTTCACATGATCATGTTATACAGTTATAGATATGGAATAGCAGCTGAACTGTCTTGATCTGGGTACATCACTGCTGCAAGTTTGTAACTATTTGTAGTAGCTTGCTCAATGAAAAGGGTAAAACCCAGGCACATTGCAGTTGGATACCGGGAACGAGTAGAAGCCTGGGAATCTTGTATTACTACAAAGCTCAGGAACACTAGATTACTTCAAAGCCTGGGAATACTGGACTAGCTGTGTGGAACCCTACAAATGGCCAGTATCAGGACAATATATAGACCGGTTGTAGCCACCCAGGGAGATGAAGAAGAATTTAAAGTGGAACATGTTTTGAATGCACACTTCAAGCATGGAAAATTTGTCAGGCAACTAATGTGAAGCTATATAACAACACCAAATGTCTGGCCAAATCCTTTGAAAAAGGCAGTGGATCAAGGTATTGACATTGAAGAGTATTGGTATGAGTGCAAATCCAAACTAATATTGAACTAAAGAATAATATATCAAGTATCTACTCCTTATATAGCAAATCATAAAAGTCAGATCAAAAAGAGAAAGAATAAGAAAGTGGTCTAACTAAACAACTATGCAGTAGTAAAAAGAGGAAAAATGGTACTATCTATCATAATTACTTATCACTGATTAATGTCTCACTGAAGTATTCCAGAGCACCGCTCTTGATTGGAGTTATGCCATTGGAATATCTTCTTGGGGGTGGGAGAGGAGTCTCCTACACTGTAAGTATGATAGAATATGAACATGAAAGGAAAATAAGAAAAAGAAAGATAAAAGTAAGAAAGTACTAGCTATGACTTCTAATCCAATGGCGAGAGGAGTGACTGGGAATGGGTTGGATAACCATGACATGATGGGAATGCAATAGAAAAATTGATCCATTACAAAATTAGAGTTCCTAGTTCTCTGGAAGGGCTATTGAGATAAGGACAGAACATAGAAACCAGAAGCCCATTTGGACAATTCCTGCGATGCTGTTTGTGAAGTTTATTCTAAAAATCCCTTGGCTCCTTGGAAGCTTAAAGGCATGGATTTGGAACTTCTTAATTCCATTTTTCAACCAATACCCAAACATTTAACTACTAACTCTATTTGGTCTCACCTGGAAGTCAAGCCTTAGGAGGGGGGTAGTGTTACAATACACAATTTGTGGACCTTCAACTTTCAGTCTCTGTTCCAACTTTCTTTCACACTTGTGCCGTGCAGCACTTTTCCTTTCTTTCAAACCCCACTTAAACTTTCATTTTCTTGCGCTGCGCAGCTTCCTCTTATTTTTAGATACAACTCCCTCACATAGTGGAGCTGGTCACACAAGCTGCGCCCTACAACATCATTAGCCACTGCTTTTACCAAACTGTATAGTATACATGTACAAATAGTCTGTAGTTGTTGTATAAATACCCCAATAGATCAAGGAGACTCCTCAGCAAGTCCTCCTGTGGTTTACTCACAACTACAGTGACTTGGTCCTATTATAAGCAGTTTATCCCCTCCTCCACTCTCCTCTTTGCCTGTCTGAGTTGTGTGCCAGAGTATTTAAACTTTGGTTGTTACACCTTGAGTTATTGGTTATAACTTCAAGGAAGGCAAGTCCATGACAAATTATAACATTTGTTTGTAGTATGAGAAAACATGCATTGGCCAGGGCTTGAACCTGGGACCCCAGCTTTTGTGGTCCGGTGCTTTTACCAACTAAGCTACCAAGGTGTACTACTGATTGGTTGCATGCCCAGAAGGTCCAGAATCACTGTACACGGGTGCAGATCCCATTGTGCATTGTGATAGTCTATTGAGTAAGTACATCCGTCATTATTTGTCTGACATTGGTTTAGTCACAAAATGATTACATGAGATAATGGCTGGATCATTGTTCAGAGTATCTGCAAGTCCTCAAGCAGGTTACAGGTGGTCCCTAGGACAGACCTGCAGCCTTTGTTTAGTTAGAGAAGGAACTTGGCAGTGCACAGAATGTTTGGGGAAACCAGAGTATTGCATGACATGCTGCAGGGATGCTCACCAGAGGTTACCATTTCATAGAGTTGAGCAATAGGTGGGCACACATTTTGAACCTTCTTGGCTTGGTAATTCATCTGGGCTATACTGGGAAACCATTCCCGGGACGTGATAACAACTATAATCTAGCAGAGGATAACTCACTGGAGGGTAATTCCTGGGGGGATAGTACCCAGGTCAATTTTCCAGGTGCCCCATCAGACAATGAGGAACGAGAATTATGGGAAGATGAAGAAGTACTCACAATGGGTGGTGTATGCAAAAGGACTTGCTCCACTGACATCAATGACAACACAGTGATGCTTCTGGTAGACAGATCCAGTGTGCATCATTTGCCTGTGACTTTTTACTGAGTGTCACCCTCAGTAATAATGGTTAGTCACATACAGTCACATATAGTCCCATATAGTCCAGCAGCAGTCCAACTTGCAAAAACTGTGACTAAAATCTGCAGGAAATAGTCAATTTTAGTCCAATAAAGTTGTGTTTCTCAGTCTAGGATAAGGGAGAACATAGTCCAACAAGAGTCCTACAAAGTCAAGCAAGAGTCCAACAAAGTCAAGTGATTCTGTAGTCCAGTGTAGTCTCAATTGCCGGTTGTTGCAAAAAATAGTTCAACTTAGTCACATTGCAGTCAAATAGTCCCAATTATACAAAGTATATGTACATATAAAGCATACAAAAATGTAAGAAAGCATAAGGAAAGCACACAAAAAATTGTAGGAGAGCAACAAGAGAAAGCCTCTACTGCATAATGACCAAAAAAAAAACATGTTCATATTGTGCAAGCAGATTAAAATCTTGTCTTCAATCATTTCTTGACTGTGGGCGGATTTTTCTTCCCCTTCCGCTGTAATAGTAATACAAGTTAGTTGTGTAATGAGAAACACAAATGTGAGACTGACATTAGATAAAAATGAATTAATTTCCCTTTTGGAGGGCTATTTCTTGGGGGGTAAGGCCAGTATAGTTGTTACAAGATCTACAAAATCATATCAGATGGTTAGAGTGGTAAAAAAAATCAATCAATACCTTTCTTATTCCTCTGTTTTAAGTTGGAGACGGTGACCCCACTGGTCTTGATCCACTCAATCAACTCATTTTTCTTCAAGGTCTGTGAATTGAGCGTGAGTTAGTTTTTCACTGACAGATATAACACACTTACCTGGAATTCTGCACAACACTCTTCCTCGTTGGGTGAATCAGAATCACCAGCTGTGACTTGTGAAATAGACAGGACAGAGGCAGCCACCGATGCAAGTACAGTGAGAGCTGAGACGGTGGAAATAGATGAGGGAGGTGCCATAGAGGCCGAAGTGGTGGATGAGATTATCAACACAGTCCAACAAAGAGTAGAAAACAAGGATAAATCAGACAAGGCCTTACCCTTAGATATTGGCTATAGAATTATTGATCAGATAATGGATACTTTGAGAAAACCAAGTACTTACCCCTTTGGCCGTTTTCCAGGCTGCCCACAAAAGGTCGAGAATGTTGCTCAGATACTTATCTGCAAGGAATGTCAAAGAATGAATCTTGTCCTGAAAGCATACATATCTTGCATTTTGACACGTCTTTACAGCTGCAGCAATTAGATGCCTAGCTGTCTTGCAGTTACCTATTGTATCCCAGGATGTCAGTAGAGCTGAAAAAGTCATAGATCCAGAGGTAAACTAATGGTGGCCCCAAGAGATACCGTGGTTGTCTTTGTCAAAGTCAGAGGGGTGTGGATCAGCATGCTCAATACGCTCAATAAATTTGAGCACAGGGGGGGAAGGGGGGCCCGGGGAGAAGTCAGGGGATAACTCCATGGCATTGAGAAGATTAATGCCAGAGAAGAATGAGCTGAAATCACGAGAGATGATACCTAGAATGTTTCAGGCCTAAATTTGAATGAAAAAAATGGAGAACAAATACCTTTCAAATTGGATATAGAGGAATTGACTTCTATTAATCCTATGTTATACCTTTTTGGCCTGATATCCGGAGCAACAGACAAAAAAGACGGAGGAGCCAGCGACTTTTGAACAGGCACTGGCAGCAGGTGGAGGCATTAATACCTGCGGATGAGAGTGATCCACTGCCATCCCAATGTCTGAGTGGGTGCCCTCTGAAACAACACTGGTCACAGGTTGTTGTTTCTTCGCCGTTTTCAAGACACTTGACCTTGCTTGACACCTCTTTTGAGGCTCTGTTGCCATTCCTGTTCCTGATAATATAGTAGTGAGATTGGTGTTTTCATTGTCACCACTAATATCCACCTTGTTAGCTAGCTTACTGGACTTCAACACCTGGCCAAGGACGTGCTCGGCCTTCCAGTGGTTTGAGCACAGAGTTAGCAGCAGCTGCTGCTACTCTATCTCCGGGAGGATGGCCTTCCACTGAGTTGGATACGTGGATTGATAATAGTTTCTTGACCGTTTCTGGGATCAGCACTTTGGCAGGGGTACCTGCTCAAGCTTGAATTGAGCGAGATGGGTGCTGGCTTTGATAGTGGACCATTCATTGGGAGACCATGGTGCCATCCGCATGTCAGATCACATGCTCCATTGCGGGTCAAGCAGAATTCTGAGCTGTTAACCCACCATCCTCGTCCTTCTTGCAGTTGTCAAAATGCCATAAGACTTCAACTGGGTATTTGTCAGGGCAGGGATGGGATTCTTGGGTGGATACAACAGATTTGCTTGCGAGATAATGGCTGCATGTGACGCAGAGTTGCTTGGATAAATTGTGGAGATGCCAGCACTAGAGGAGTAGATATGTTAGTCAACTGCATTGTATTGTATGGATTACTTATGCAGAGCTGCTTTGTGAATTGAGGGCTGTTTGCAATCATGAGATTTCTTGCTGAAGATGGTGGTTTTCTTGTTGTAAGGGACCATTTTCTTCAGTCAGTTATTGCATATCGTCCTCATATCTCCAGATTTTTTTCCCTCCAACTCGCATTGCTGGTTGATGTGCACATGTTCCTTAGCAATTTGTTAATCTGCAAGTGATGTTCATCTGGTTTCCTTGAGTTCCCCTGATAAATTGTTTAGGGCGTCTCAATTCTTCTAATGTTAATACCATTTTGTGTAGTGGTCATGCATTCAATTCTTTGATCAGATTTTTGTCAATATCTTGTCCTCTCTTTTTGTGCATCCAGCTGTTCAAGATACCAATGAATCTTTCTTCCTTTTGGTCTCAAAGTCTGTCAGCAACCCATGCGGCTGTCCATGATTCTTTATGATCCTTTGTTTCTAGGTTTTTATTAGAGGGGTGCCTGACCTCTTCGGAGCGTGTTGAAACATCAGTACCATTTGTGCTTCCCAATTGAGTCACCACATTTTGTGTGTTGTCTCCTCAGTTGCTGCACTTTTTATGGTTCTATCCCCTCTAGATACCTTGTGCACAGCAACTTTGGGAATATTTTCAGCCTGTTTCCCTTTCAGGTTTTCCTCTTTTATAGCTTCTTTCAATTTCAGATTTGCTGTATCTTTGGCTAATGTCATTTTCTTTTAAACTAATACATGTTTCTGAGACAGCAAAATTTTCGATTGAAAGGGAAGCATATCTATTGTTTGTAGGCTCAGTCTGACAAGGAATGACAGCTGGCCTCTTTAAAAATCCTGTAAGAGTTCATCTCTCTCTTCTTTGTTCATTCCTTCAAGCATGGCCCTAAGGTTGAACCTTTGTTTTGCAGCTATGCTACCTCCTTCTTTATGATCTCTGTGCCCTTTCTCTCCACATTTGAAGCATCTGCCCTCAGCCTGATACTTCACTTTATCTACTTCCATCCTTTTTCCAGCTCTACCGTAAGTGGTTCCGGATCTGTCTAATTTCTCTTCCACTGTCTCAGCCTTTTTCTCCGGAGTGTCTCCTTGTTGGTACCTGCTGTTGGGTCCCTGGTACCAGAACCAGAGCTGCCGCCGGCTATACCCTTCATCATTTTCTTGTTCTCTACTTGATCACGCCAGAGCTGATCATTCATCACTATTCTTGTCTTCCATTCCATATATGTTTTTGGGATGTTTCCCAAGTAAATGATTTGTTTTATCAATGGTCCATTGATATTGTTTCTGATCAATGTAATTAAGAATTGTTTGTGCCTTCTTATGTTGTATCCTGCACATCTTTGTGTTGCTCCGAATTTAACAAAGTACTTTTGTGCTGTGAGAGTTCCTTGTTTGAAGTACATTATCTTGTACTTAGCTCTTTCAAACACATCTTGGAAGTGCTCTTTGAGCATGGACTCAAAATGAGCCCAGCTTTCTATGGTGCACTCTGACTAGAGGTCACCAACTTTGTACAGCAAAAATAGCACCTGTAAAAATGGTTCATTTTCTTATTCCTCTGGTGAAAAGGCATGTATTAGGTGTAAGGAAACTTTCATCAGAGGGATTCCCAAGATTCTCAAAATTGGGCGAGATATAAATCTGTTAGAATATACTCTGACATACCAATACTCCATAGGATAATACCTCTGATTTGTAAGCCAGCCCAGTATGCAGCAGCTATTCTGTGTAAGATATCCATGGTTGCATGTCATGTTTAAGATCCTACATTGTATAATCTTGGCCATATAGCTCAATTGGTAGAGCAGCTGGCATGTATCCAGAAGGTTCCAGGTTCAATCCCTGGTCTGGTCATTATCCAATTTTATCAAAATCCCTACCTGGTCGTGATTTTGCGTACAAACACCAAGGCTCAATATAGTAACTTGATTATCCTTTTATGGGTGTTCTAATCTAATCTATGTGTCACAGTCTCTGGAACATGACAGTGCAAGGAGTATCTACGAGAGCTGAATTGCTTTACCACAAATTGAGCCTCTGTGGCATCCTTACCACCTCTGTAAGCATCCATCCACCTGATCATCTGATGCTCCCACTTCTGAATGGTGTGAATATCCACTGATTCAAGAGCCTTTGGCAACTGCTCTTGCAAACCATCATAAGATCAATTGCAGTGCTTGAAAAGGTATCTTTTGACTGCACCCCAAAAAACTTCAATGAAGTTAAGCTCACAGTGATACTTTAGCAGAAAAATGTGCAGATGACCAGCAGCCTCAATGGTTTCTTGGACAAGGGATATCTGTTCTCAAAAACCGGGCTGTATGGAAGGGGTGCAGGTGGCACAGCAATTTGTTGCCTTCAGATCACATTTGGAATCATCTCGGCAGATGAGAAGCATACCGGGGCGCCACAAATTACGCTCCTAAAGGACTTGCTTCATCCCTTCCGGCTGGCTGGGATATTTGTTATGGTCCGGGGAACATTATTGGCTGCAAGACCCAATCACCATCTCACATGCATGGCACCTGCCGCCGGGGTTCAAATTTATGGTCTGAACCCAGAGGGCATCCTTCAGCTATGCCAAATGACCTTGAGAGTTATCAACCATAATTAGAGCTTGATATTCTGGGCCGTGCAGCCTCTCAAAGGTTGGGATAATTTTCTCTTTGAGCTGCCCAATGTCACTTGTCAATTCAACTGAGAAAGTTGGAACCATAAGACACAGACCTGTTTAACAAAGAGCTCCCCTGTCCAGTACCCATCATAATTATTTCCATACTCCAGCTGCTGACCCGCATTCTTCAGCCAACTAACTATTGAAGATATTACATTACTCCAATGTGAGCCTCGACCCACTCCCTTCTTCAGTAGTGGCTGTCCACCATTTGGTCCCCAGCCGGCTTTTGGCCCATCATTAGCTTGCATTGTTGACTCGTCATGTGCCAATAGGACAAGCTTCTTGGTGCCCCGTGGTAAGATTTTTCTGATTTCTTCGCCAATGTTCCCAACTTTGTATTCAACCAGCCAAATACAATGCTTGGCCATCTCGGGCAAGAACTCATCTTGCCAATATTGCACCACATTGGGACACTTGTGCCCATCAAAATAGACAGCCTTCTTGTATTGCATATAATGAAATCCCTGGTGAAGCATCCAATTCCACGCAGTGGTCAGTGTAACAGCCAAGAGTTAGTTACTCTGGCGCACACAGGAACACACTATAAAGAGAATGAAGAGGGAGTGGTTACTCCTTAGGATGCAGAGAGTTAGTTGGTATACAACAGGAGGACTCGCTGAGGAGTCTCCTGGATCTATTGGGGTATATATACTACTACAGGGTTGTTTGTACATGTGTACTATACAGTTGATAGAGACAGTGGCTGATGATGTCATGGGGCCTAGCCCGCATGGCTAGCTCCACTGTGTGAGAGAGTTGTGTCCAACATAAGGCAATGTAGCATGAGAAAGGGGAAGTGCCGCATGGCACCATGTGTGAAAGCTATAGTACAAGGTTAAAGCAGAGAATAAAAGTAAAGGGAAAGTCTGAAAATTGTGTGATCATAACAGTCAGTGAGATGCCTTTTCCAACTTTGATTTGAATGTGGGGGAAAAGAACCAGCTCAAGGTAACATTTCATTCCTTGAGGCATCTCCTTGTCAACAATGTGCTTTGCATATTTCTCCCCTTCAACTGGTAACATGGTTTGATTCACAAATTTGGAGAATTTCTGCGGGTTTGTTGCCCACTTGTTGGACTGGAGGTATGAGCGGCATTCAGCAGCAATTTTGGGGTCATCAAGAAGACTTGAGACTTTGACATGGCGGCCCCGCTGAGAGGTTGGTAAATCCTCAGTCTTTATCCATGCATTTGCCCATTGTCTGATCGCTCGACCACCACTTGTCTTTGCAAGATTACTGCTTTGTGCTGCAATCTCTGACACCGGCAACCCGTTTATTCCCTTCAACACCAACTGCAGATAGCTTCAAATAGCCCTTGCTTGCGTCGCCTCAAGCCCGTGCTCGCCCCCATTCCACTGTGTCTTCCAGGACTTGATTTTTTTTGTCGATCAACTTCAATGCCCATGCCAACTCCTTTTGGCAATTTGTTTTCTTCTGACACCGTGCTTCTCAAGCAGGGATCTCTAGTGTGCAACACTGTTTCTTCCTCACTGGTTTCTCTTCCCCACCATCTTCAGCCTCACTGTTGGCTTGTTGGTCATCCTCATAGACTCCCTCCACTCCCAATTCATCATCACTGGGCGGCTCAAGTGGATCATCTTCTGGCAAATCCAACTCATACCTGCCAAACAAGACCTCGTCCAAATTTGGACCTGATTGATTGACTGCATTGTCATGCACCAAAATTGATTGGTAGCATGGACAGGTGTCAATAACAAAGCGAATATTCGAAAAGACTCGCCTTTGCGCCACACAGGCACAGTGCCACGTGGAATAGTAATTAATATTGCCTTTTTCAAACTTGTGGCTGATCAGCACCACCTCTATTAGGCAATCCAGTTACGCTCACCTTTGCTTTTCCATTTGGTACTTTCCGTGTTTTGGCATTTCGGCAAATTTTCGCGTCGCCACTGGCTACACATTGCATTGCGCCCTCGCTTTTGTTGTTTCCCTTACTCCCCTTCCTTTGCCTAGCCCCACCATGGGCCCCTTCCTCTCCTTTTTATTCTCACCTGACGGTCGTTTCTGGATCCCCATTCTAATCCACTTGTTCGTCACCTCCACCCTCCTCCTCCTCATTTTATTTGCACCCCCACCATTTCTGATGTCACCACTTCCTATCCGCTTCCGTTGCCGATCCGTTGACTACCACGTGCCACTGCTGATATCAGCAAAGCCCCGGCGGCCGGTCCAAATAGGGCAACAGGTCCATCTTCATGACGTCGATCTGCCATCACATACTATCAAAATATCGGTCACTCGTCTTGCCTGGTTGGAGGGTGGGTGGGTAGTTTTTGAGCTGGAGAAGGTTCATCCCCTTGTGTCGCCCATGTTCATCGCTGTCCCATTCACTTGGGTACACTTATCTTTTGTCCATCGTCTTCGCTACAGCTACACCTACCACACGCTGCCTGGGACTCACTTGTTCCAAATTGGAACTACTCCTCTCCCTCCCTCGTTTGATCAGGTGGTCCAACACAACCAGTCCATTGGTAAGGCCATGGAACTGTCGGATTTGGACTAGGTGGTGGACCGGTGGCTCCAGTTTCTTTTTTTTCAGCAGAACATTCATTTACAGTGCAATTATTTTTGATTTTTGAATCATTTTTATGGACACATATTTTTTTAGAATGCCTGACTGACAATAAAGGAACTGTGTTGATACTGATAGTGTTTTGCCTTGCCCTTTTTTTACTGCATCTTCCCATGACATCATGATTTTCTTGCTCTCTTTTTGCTATTGGACTTTACTTTATGGCTGTACAAACCTGTGACATTACTCACAGCATTCATTGTTCTATCCCTTTCTTTCCCTTATTTTGATGATCTTATCCTGTAGCAACTATGCAGGATTTGTCAGCGTACATTCCTTCCTTCATGTTCTTTCTCATTCTTTTTGCGCAGCTATACTGTGCATAGCCTACCTTTCTTTTCACTATATAAACCCCTGTATTTTACCTTGTAAAAACAACAAAGATATCCAATCCAGACTTCTTCTCTACTCTCAAGTTCACTACTCTGCTACTTGTGATCCAGTGTGGTCACAACACTTCCCACTTCTACCACTGTCAACTGCTGTCATCGTCACTTCCCACTTTTGAAGTCATTGTCATCCCTTTCAGTTGGGGTCCTTCTGAGCACTACAGTTTGTGCGTCAGGAGCCTGCTATCACTGGGAACCTCGTCATATTGTCATTCTCAAACCTACCTTGTGCCACAATTAGCAAGGTAGTGCTTGTCTATACTCGCCACAACGCCCCCTATCTTTCTATATTCCAACTATCCCTCCTCCTCAAAACCCACACTCATACACCTCTGGGTTTTACTTTGAAGGATCTTTATACGTACCACCCCACGAACAACCAGACCACTCCACTGTTCTAGGAGGCAAAGCCCATAAACAAGTTCCATGGAATCTGGGAGGATTGTGTGTTAGTTTGTTTTGTGTGTGGTTTTCTAACAGCAGTTCTCATCATCAACAGCGCCTGAATCAAGCAGTGCGCTGGTTGGGTGTACTATGCCCCGGGCAAGGTTTTCCACACCAATGTCTAAACAGATCTCCTTTTGGAATAAAAATGTGCGCATCAACACACGTCTTGGGATTTCTGTGGAAAGTGGCTCCGGAGAAGAAGAAGAGATATTGAGAGAAACATGTCTACTTTAGGATTTTCTATATTTGTACCCCTATTTTTACCAGAATCAAGCACCCTAGTGTTTGTCTTGCCGGGGCCACACTCCAAGGGAGACGCTAGTGCAGCGGTAGTATCATAAATATTACAGTCACAATACTTCATACAAGTACATACTTCTGATAATCAATTTACAAATTTATTTACAAATTTGGGAGCCACCCCCTTTCCTTTATTGCTTGTGCACCACCCCGGAGCAGGGGCCACCTTGTTGTGGTTTACTTCATTGTTTCGAGGAGCAAAGGCACCCAAGTGACCTAAGCTCTGAACTCTTTTCCCTGAGCCTTCATCTCAGCAACCTGTTGGTGGTAAAAGAAGGCTCGGATTTTGTTGTACAAACAACCAGCAAGATCCAGGAGATGACTGGGAAATATACCAAGGGTAATCCTACGCATTTTCCCCATCTTTGGCAGTAAAGAGAGAGCTGCATGTGTAGAAATAGAGGTAGACGTAGAAGACTTTCTGGACAAACTAGTCCTCTCCTGTATAACAACAGGGCTGGACTTGGGCTGCTATATAGGCTGTTAGCTTTATGAATGTTAGAAGTATTCAGAAACATACTTGATCATCCAGAATAAGTCAATCAACGTCTTAGCAGCATGTAAGTATTTTCCTCTAGGAATGATTATATCTTACCATCTGGTCTAGCACCCTTATCCTCATCATAATCATTGTGAGGCAATGATAAACTATAACAAAAGCAATACCCATCTCCGACTGCACTTGCAGGGAGTAAGAGGTACAGTGAGTCTTGAAGATCAACAGATGCTAGTGAATATAGCAAATAGAGGATATGGGAGTAGACTCAGGGGTTTCTGATAAGGAGTAAAGCAGATAATTCAAGTAATAGAAAGCTAAAGAACTACACATGAGTAGGTAAGGCTTTATATAGCTAACCGTCTATCCCTCAGACCAAAAGAGGAATAAAAGGAAAGTGGTCCGAGGGGAAAATTACCCAATAAGAAAAAGGATGACTATTGTACAATTTTAAAGATTAATCAGCAGGTGAGAAATTGTACTAATAGTAAGTGTTGTCGTGCATGTTCAGGAACCGTATCTTCATGATAAGGTATGATCCTGACTAAAGCGTCTATTAGTATATCCAGGCACTGATGGGGCTTGGAGCTGGTTGGCAAGATGCCTACTAGCAGCCCCTACCCATTGTGCTGGCTGGCTGGGAGTGATACCCAGTCTCTGATCTGTGATATAAAGTGGTAGCAATGGTTGAGAAAGCCTATGAGGGCTATGAGAAGTAAAATAGCAAATGATACCTCCAGCCCTAGAGCCAGAGGTGTAATGGGAAAAGTGTTCGGGAACCAAGACATAGAGAAGATAAGAAAATAATAAATGGTCCTTACAATCATGTGTGTATGACTATCTTCTCCTTTTCCGCGCCTTTTTGCTGAACAGTTAGATGTGAAACCCGTTCATCTTCACCATCATCTTCTGAAGATTCCAGATAGTCTTGTGAATCTGATAGAGGAGGGCTGATCTGACAGAGTCAGAGATTCACAGCCTTAAACACTACATTGCATGGAAAAAGTCAAATGGCACTGTCAAGGCATATGAGCTGCATGCACAAGTATCACAACAAGCTACTCAGTTAGACATTGTCACTATATGCTGTTTGCAAGCTGGCTAGATCACTGGCCAAGATTGAGCCTGTAAAGATTGATATGTGCCCAAAAAGTTGTATTGCATATACAGGTGACTTTAAGGACTTGGAAGCTTATCCTCACACCATAAAGGGTCAAATCACATGTGGGGAGAGGTGCTACGTTGCTGGATCTAAAAATAAGCCCAGAGCACAAATGCAATATGTATCTTTTATTCCAATTATCCAAGCAATGTTTGCAAATAAACAAACATCCCAACTCCTGCGATACAGGGATAGATGTTTACAAGAAACATTGAAGTTACTTGCAGTTGACTCACAAAGTTCTGGGACTCAGGCTCAGGCAAAATATTGTGATTTCCCCAGTGGGAGTGTTCATGAACACCATTATAAGGACATGGGATTATTTCAGGATGAGTGTGACATTGCCTTTGCATTATCCACAGATGGGGCCCAGCTTACAATGAAGAAGCAGTCTGATACTTGGATATTGATTCTGATATTGCTCAACATACCTCCAGAAATGAGGTACCATTCCAACAATATCATATTAACCATGACCATTCCCGGACCCCACAGTCCAGGAAGTATTGAGTCATTTATATATCCCCTTTTCCAGGATGCAGCACAGTGTAGTCAAGGTATATGGATGTGGGATGCTATAGATTCCTCCTATTTCATAAATCACATGTACATGACTATGATTCTGGGAGATGTGCTAGGCTCAGCAAAGTTAAATGGGATGGCAGGACATACTGCAAATTATGGTGATAGATTTGTTTTGGTCAAAAGGGCAAGATCCAGTCTTGAAAAAAGTGCCAAGGCTTAGTACTACCTATTGTCACCACCAGAAAACAATAAATACAACAGTGATCATCCCATATATAACCTGGATAACCTGCCAATACGCACAGAAGATCATTATTGGGCTACAATCTGTAACAACCAAGAGTTAGTTACTCTGGCGCACACAGGAACACACTATAAAGGTAGTGAAGAGGGAGTGGTTACCCCTTAAGCTGCAGAGAGTTTGTTGGTATACAACAGGAGGACTCGCTAAGGAGTCTCCTGGATCTATTGGGGTATATATACTAATACAGAGTGTTTGTACTTATGTACTATACAGTTGATAAAGTCAGTGGCTTGATGATGTCATGGGGCCTAGCCCACATGATCAGCTCCACTGCGTGAGAGAGTTGTATCTAAAATAAGAAGAAGGCAACGCAGCGCGAGAAAAAGGAGTTTGAACAAAAGGGAAAGTGCCGCGTGGCACCATGTGTGAAAGCTAAAGTGTACAAGGTTAAAGCGGAGAATGAAAATGAAGGAAAGGTCCGAAAATTGTGTTATTGTAACACAATCAACAAACTTGATGCTACCACAGTTAAAAATCTTCATGCTAAAATTACAAGGGTGGCAGGGATTTCTTGCATGCCTCTAGCAGCAGCAACAACAGCATTTATTCACCCTTCATGTTTCCCAATTGATCCTTTCCATCTGTTTTTTGAAAATATTGTTGCATTTATATGGGATTTGTGGACAATCCACAGTTCACAATCTGAACTCATCCACCTCAACATACAGAAGGCTGAGATGTTTGGTAAACTAGTTGCTTCAGGAATGTCAACACTGCCACCCTCATTCTGTGGCCCAGTTTGAGATCCCCACTTGAAAAGACAAAGTCAATATAAAGTCTATGAGTGGATGGCACTGTTATACTGGTACAAAATACCAATTGGCATTGAGCTAGGGATGAATTCCTCAGTGCTTCAGAACTTCTCCCATCTTATGGCTATAATTGAATTTTCCATGACTATCAAAGCAAGGAGCACCAAAGACTTGACTGATCTCCATCAGCTCATTAAAGTATTCTTGGCTGGTTTTGAAAGAATTTATGTTGGAATACATCCTGAGAAGATTTCAAGATTCTAATTGTGTATATTCCAGTTGATCCATGTTCCTGTTCATATTGAGTGATATGGATCACATTGACTTGACTCTCAAGCTACTGTGGAAAGAACTATTGAAGAAATTGGGCACAAGATCTGTTCCAAAAAAGCATCTTTTGCAAATTTGGCTAATATTATCTATGAGAAAAAAGTCTTGAAGACCCTCCTCTCCTACTACCCTGAGTTGCAGAATTAGTATATAGACTGACCCGCCTCCGGAGATTGCAGCAAATTTACTGCCAATTGAATGCCAGTCTTGAAAAGTTTGTTTGCTGGGCTTTATGGGGAGATGGGCAACTTCTGTATTGTAAGTACCATTGAGAGACTGTTGGGTATGGAGTTTAATGCTAGAGAAAGTGTAGCATACTAGATCAAATTCATCAGATGCTAATGGATATCAAAATGACTCACCTCTGACATTTTGTCACCAGCTGCATGTAGTTTATCATCAACAGGAAGTTGACGCAAATGTCCTTCCCATTAATACCCCTACACCTCTGCACTACGGAACCCAAGCTCTCATCCAGATACCCACTCCCCTCCATTGCCAACTTTACACTATCAATCCAAACACTGGGGTTATGGATATCTGAGTCCCAGTGCGTAGACACCAAAGTTGCAATGATGGCATTGACATTTTTGCCAGAGTTGAGCCAATCTTTGGCTCATCTTCTCCAAACACCACCACAATCTCTTCTCAACAATGCAAATGAGACACACACCCTCGGACACAGCTGTTTGGACTTGGCAGGTTTATTAGATCCCCCACCATTTGTGCAAAGGTGTAACAACCAAGAGTTATTTACTCTGGCACACACAGGAACACACTATAAAGAAGATGATAGGGAGTGGCTACCCCTTAGGCTGCAGTGAGTTTGTTGGGCTAGACAACAGGAGGACCCGCTGAGTCCCTCCCCATGTATTGCTCCTGTATATATACTAAAATACATGAGGTACTGTACAGTTGTAAATAAAGTTTAAAGTCCGATGTCTAACATGTGACCTGTCACATGGTGAGCCTAGACACTGGTCAGGTGATGCATAACTGGTCATGTGACTATGAAAAGTGGAAAATATAAAGTAAAGTAAATGGTCACATGACTGGTCATGTGACTTGGAAAAAAGAAAAGTAAAAGTACAAAAGTGAAGCGTAAGTAGGTGCTGGTATGTCAATTGTAACAGAAGGTGGTGTTGCTTTTTTTGTAGGCTATGGCATGTTGCTGATGGCGCTGACACTGTTGATGCTGCTGGTGCTGTGACACTTGTACACCTTTCATCCAAATGGCGTTGACTACTAGTCCTCCTTGACACAACATGCTGGGAAGGTGGTGATCCCATATCTACCTGAGGCAGTGAGAAGCTGGATATGGATCGTTGTGAAGGAGCAGCAATGAGAGGCAATGGCAGCAAGGATGTAGAAGCATGAGGCAGGGAAAGGGAGATATTAATGGGCACATTTATGGAAGCAGGAAGAGCAGGGTTTTAATTTGCTGATGGAGACTGCAAGGGCGGGAGGCCATCCCACAGGTGTGTCGCATTCAAGTTCTCTATGCCACTAGCATAGGTCATATTTTGACTTGCCACCCAGGTGCATCAGGAAAAACACTTTGGCTATATAGCAGAGGCAATACTATTTATGCTATTATAGCTCTAATAGTACTATATAGCAAAGGTAATACTATTTGTGCTATTATAGCTCTGATAGTGCTATATAGCAGAGGCATTACTATAAATGCTATTATAGCTCTTATAGTACTATAAGTTTGAGCACACATATATAATGTTATATAGCTGGCCAAGGCATTATAATGGCTCTTATAGCTCTAATAGCCTATATAGCTGTTAAGACCATAGTACATATTTATAGTAATGCTTTATCCAAGTATAAGTTGTGATAATTCAATGTGTAAAAAAAATGACAAGTCCATAAAAGGTTAATATATTACACATGTATAGTATATTTTGTAAGCCTTTATGGTGTAGTGAATAAATGTGTGGTATGTGGCTGTGTTCAAACCTTGTGATAGAACAGCCCCAGTAGCAAAATCAGAAAAGTCGGTTTCTAGCTGGAACTCTTTGTCTAATTCTGGAAATGCTAATATGGGCGCTGTTGTGAATGCCTGTTTAAGCTTATTAAAAGCTTCTTGTTCTTTGGAACCCCAGTTCCAGACAATGTCCTTTTTAGTGAGATTGTTTTATAGGCCTCCTTCATTTCCGAGTGATAGACTGACATAGTGGGTATAAAATTTATGAGGGCCTGCAGGAAGTGAATGCCCATCACTCTCTGCAGATGATTGGTATCTATGTCTTTAAGTGATCCCTTGACTATAAGTTTCTTGCGGCCAAGAAGCTGTTGTCTCCTAATTAACTCATCCAAATCAAAGGCTTCTGGGTTAACGTCTTCCAGCTCAACGTCTTCCAGCTCAACGTCTTCCAGCTAAACTACTGTACCAGCAAAGCTCTTGATTATTTGACTTTTCTGCCGATTCAATGGTCTCTCCTTTGTGCAAATACCTATATGTTGTCCCCTACTATACTAAAAAATTTTCCTGAGCTGGGCTTTGTAGCTTCTTGTAGGAAGGCCATGGACCCAAGGGCTCAAAATGCTGTGTTGTATACAGTGCAGCGTCCAAGTTGGCTCTCAACCCAAATGATTGAGCAATGGGCTTTAGCTGCAAACAGGTACAAGGTCCGACACAATGCACCATAGCTGGCGTTTTTTGAACGTATAAAGGTAAGTGATATTATACTATCAATGGCACCCTGTAGAGCTGATTAAAAATGGACCAGCCATATGATAAGTCCACCTACCAGATTTTGAGGCCGGTTTGTATGCAGGACATAGTTGTCTCCATAAACAAGTTCGGAGTTGCAGTAGGAGCAAATCAAGTGCCAGAATACAGGTGCGTGCTTCCGTATGGTGGTTTCAAGCTTGGCAAAACTGAAGTTGTTTTTAATATCCCATGTGACCTGGGTACCTTGTGTCCGACGTCCCTCATGAGTAGTGCCTGCCCACACTTGTAGACCTGCCTTTGCAGAGATCATCCTGTTTAACTCAGCATGGATCTGGTGAACAACAAGTTCAAGGGCCCAGGCAGTGAGTGCAAGGCTTGCATGCTGAATTTAATTGAAGCTAACACTCCCTGGTATGTAGATTTGATTATTTACCAGGGATGTGTTACAATAACACAATTTTTGGACCTTTCCTTTAATTTTCATTCTTCGCTTTAACCTTTTACTGTAGTTCACACTCCGTGCCATGTGGCACTTTCCTTTTTGTTCTAACTCCACTCTCTCGCGCGGCGCTGCCTTTATTCTCCTTTTAGACACAAACTCTCTCATGCAATGGAGCTGATTATGCGGGCTAGGCCCCATGACATCATCAGCCACTACCTTTATCAACTATACAGTACATATGTACAAATAAGATTGTAGTAGTATAAATACCCCAATAGATCAAGGAGACTCCTCAGCAAGTCCTCCTGTTGTATACCAACAACTAACTAGGTCCTACCTAAGGGGTAACCACTCCCTCATCACTACCTTTATAGTTTGTCTTAAGTGTGCGCCAGAGTAACTAACTCTTGGTTGTTACAGGGGGCATCTATCCAAAGGGAGATTCTCTTTGCTTGTTGGTATATCAGCTCAAGAATCACCACCAATGTAGGTGAGCCTGTGCATGGCCCATTGATCAGAGACACTACCATGTGTGAGTGTCTCTTGGATCTTTCAAGTTTCTCTCCTTTCTCATTCTTTGTCTTAAACAGATGATGCAAAAAGTTGGCCAGAGATCACCGAGCATCATAGATACTTGCCAACACATCCTCAAGCTTTTGGCTTGATGTTTGTGCTGTTCAGCGAGGTGTTTGCTGGGGTGTTTGGGACATGATTAATGGGAAACGGCTTTGATTTTTGTAACTACTGTACATTAATTGATCAATACTATTAAGCTACTGATTATCTGTACACAAGGCTTTGCACAGGACTTTGGGAAGTGATTGATTTCATTGTGGGGTAATGTCTAAGCGGGGTTGGTTGGAACTGCTTCTAAGCTGTTGCGGACCTGTAATAGCTCTCTACTCTGTGGCTGAAAGGCATTGAGTGGGGGGTTCCCGCAAAGGGCCTTAAATTCGGAGCAGACCTTATTACCAATATTGTTGTCTTCATATACCAACTACTAGTATCATATATTGACAGTCACATGTATTGTATAAGGTCAGCAACAGAGACTAAGCCACACCCTTCATGAAGCTTTAACAAAAAGGCAAGAAAATTTATGGCATATAACTCACCACCAAGCCTCAATGATCCTTCTGTCACTCAAACAGCTGTCGTCACAATTTTTTGAGGAGCTCCTGCATGACAAAGGATTGCGGCCACAACTAACTGCATTAGGAATAGATGAGATCCACTTACTGGATACTTGGGGCAATAGCTTCCAAAATGCCTTCCTACAGATATGGTACATTGCTGCCCAAATGCCCCCCCAAGTTGTGCAGATTGCTGTTACTGCCACACTAGTTTCAGGCCTGACAATGGATGACAATAGACCGAATATGTAACTTCCTTGGACTGAAAGCAGGAGAATACCACCTCATTTAAAGGTCCAACCTACGCCCAGATGTTCAACTGTTAATACATGAGTTGAAGCATGGACTTGGGGGTTGGAACTTTTCCCAGCTGCAATGGATCCTCCACTCTGACCACAAAACCATCATTTTCTGCCCAACAATATACCTTCAATTCCCAACTTCAAACATATTTATGGGCCAACGCACCTGAACAATCCAGTCTGGATCTCCATATCCGCATGTACAATTCCCTTAACTCACCCAAGTACAATATTAAAACCCGGAGACTGTTTCATAAAAACCCCATAACACGCATAATCAATGCAACCAATGGACTCTGTGTTGGGTACGACCCTATCAATTTTACCTTGATTGTGATGATGGGAGTGGTGCAAAATGCTGATGAATTCCACCAGAAGGTTGGCAGGATAAGGCCTGACAGGACACAACAAAAGGAGAGATGGGGCATTATGTATATCCATAAACATGGCAAAACTCGTCCTGGCACCTTGTACATGTAAGGCCATGGAATAAAATTAACTGTACAACAATCCTTGTAAAGACTTACAGTGCACTTGTTCCACCTGTATGAGCCATCCACGTCCAGCTACAACTTCTTCTTGCCAGTGTTTTGGCTGTAGTCTGGAGGACCCTTCATCATGTGCTCTTTCTTTTAACACAGGCCCTGAAGCTGTGTGTCAAAAAGAGGATGCCCAGGCCATGCCTAAAAAGAAGTCAATTACTGTAAGGACCATTTTATTATTTCCTTATCTTCACTATGTCTTGGTTCTCGAACGCTTTTCCCATTACGCCTCTGGCTCTAGGGCTAGAGGTATCATTTGCCGTTCTACTTCTCATAGCCCTCACAGGCTTTCTTAACCATTGTTACCATTTTATATCACAGATCAGAGACTGGGCATCGCTCCCAGCCAGCCAGCACACTGGGTAGGGACTGGTAGTAGGCATCTCGCCAACCAGCTCCAAGCCCCAGTAAAGCCTGGTAATACTAATAACGCCTTATCTAGAATGGTACCTCATCATGAGGATACGGTTCCTGACCACGCGTGACAATCTTCTATTATTAGTACAAGTCTCTCACCTGCTGATTAATCAAGCCAGAAGTCATACAATAGTTACTCTCCATTTTTCTTATTGGTAGATTAATTCCTCAGACCACTTTTCGTATATTCTCCTTTCGGTCTGAGGAACGGACAGTTCCCTATATAAAGACGTACCTATTCATGTATAGCTCCTTAGCTTTCTATTACTGAATTTACCCGCTTTACTCCTTAACAAGAACCTTTGAAGCTTACCTCTCAAAAGTCCTCTACTCGCTATATTTCTAGCGTCTGTCGACCTCAAAGCTCATTGGACCCTTACTCCCTGCAGGTGCAGAAGGAGATAGGTTTAGTTTTTGTTATAGTTTATCGTTGCCTCACAAAATAGAAAGCTCACTCTACAATCCGTTCACAGCGTACCATCTCGCTTGAACCCATTATAGCCCTAACCCACCTTTTCCTTCATCCCTCGGACGTGTTGTCATTCACCGTCCTCCTCCCCATCCAAAACAACCACTTGCCTTCTAGCTAAGCTAGCTAGTTGTTCTCTCCAACATTCCTACCCACCTCGAAGTAATACTCTTACTTGTTCTAGCTCAAGTCCTCACCCTAGCTGTCGTCTTTGATCACTTCTACAATCGTCAAACTGTCGAACATCAGAGAGAGCCTAGTAACGGACGAAGAACGACGTTCACTCGAGGAATTCCATCGCGCCCTCAACAACCGAGACCTCCACGTTGCAGTACCTGTCAACGCTGCCACGCACCCCCAGCCTGCCCACAGCAACACAGAAACTGAGTATTACGAAGACTCATCAGCCGCCTCTTCCCCCATCTCTGAACTAGAAGGACTAGTTCTAGCCGTCGACGATTTAGCATTCGAAATCTCCCAACTCCGTCAATACGTCGCGCTTACTCGAGTACGCATCAGCAGCTGCTCAAACCTGCTTTTGGGAATCCGATCAAGCATCCAGAGAATTGTTCAGGTTCAATTCGATACACCTAGAGCACCTATCGATCGAAGTCTACGAACAGAGAATTCTAGAACCCCCTCGTCGGAACGACAGTGAAGAAAAACGAGCCCTCAGACGACGAGTGGCAGAACATAAGACAGCTCTTCTCATACTATCCGACGGAATCTCTCCACGCATCTATCACCTTCCAAACTACGTTGAAACTCCCCAACTTGCGTTCTCACCAGAACAGGACGGGAGAGAAATCCACTACCTACTTCCCTGTGGAATCATCATCCACCGACGACCCTACTCCGCACCCTACCTAGAATTCCTTACGCCCTACCTCGAACCATCCAAAATTGACGTATACGTTACAGCGTCATTTAATCCTACCCCTCTTGAACTTCTTTTTACAAGAATTGGAATTTACGAAACCGATCTCATCAAGTTCTATCGAGAAATACCATTCTTCTTCGACGTCCCCCTCACTCCCGAACAGAACGACGCCTTCAACCAATGAGATTATCTTAAAACAGGAGTCCACGTATTAGTTGTCACCCCTTTCTGCCGCGACGCAATACGAAGGATAGTAGCCTGCATATCGCAATTTCGCAGACTAGTGTTTAAAATTGGACACGAGATCCTCGAAGGAAGGAATTGGGAAAGAGAACAAAGACAGATCAGGAACGTCTGTCGATTGTTCAGAGAATACCAAAACTACGGGAAAGAAGTTTTTGATTTAGTCATCCATGTCTAACCCCACGCAGCTACACGGCAAAGTAACTCTCGCAGCAGAACCCTTCAAATTCAAAGGAGAGAAGGAACGATTCATAGCATGGCGCCAAGCACTACAGTTGTACTTAACCGCCTACGCATCCTACTTTCCAGACGAGAAGACGAAGCTCATCTACCTCCTGTCCAAAATCAGCGACCAAGGAACGTCGACAGTAAAAGCTTGGAAAGAGAACGTGCTTACCAAAGCTCTCGACGCAACTACCCCCGTATGGCCAACTCTCTCGACCGTCCTAACCGATCTAGCCCAAGTATTCGGGAATCCAAACGAAAGATCGCAGGCGGTAAACGAGATTGAGACATACAAGCAGGAGAATAAGCATTGCGACGAATTCTTTAGCCATTTCACAACGCTCATGGACAAGGCCGGATATGACGCTACCACTCACTTCGACGTGATCAATCGAATTCTCAAAAAGAATCTTCACTCTCGAATCTGTGATTTCGTCATCATCCAGAGAGACCTACCAAAAACATTTGCTGAGTGGAAAACGCAAGCCTACACATGGGAGGCACGAAGAGAAGAGTTTCAGTTAGACAAAAGACGGAAGAGAGAAGTCACGCAGCCGTCGCGACCTATCTACAGACAACAGACGTATACGCACCAGCATGTGCAACAGCCGCAGCCACAGCAGATGGCGAGACCCCAGACAAATCAGTATGCAAGAAGGTTCGAGGATCAACCTCAGAGAGGTGTGTTCCCCGGACAAGGTGTACCCATGGATACGGACCAACAGAGTCGGTTCAGATTATGTTACGGATGTGGCCAGCCGGGTCATATCGCAAGGAACTGCCCTCTGAAGAAAGTTGCAGCTAGAGAAGCAACCACAACCCAGGAGGAGACAAAGACGAAGGATTTTCTCGAAGGTCAGGAGTAAGCACGGACTCTCTGACCAGTAAGCACGGTTCGGAAAATGTATTTGTAACTGATAAATCGAAACATGTTTCCCAAAACCCATGTGCCGAGAAATACGCTAAGCCACATTCAGCGGAATGGTTGGCTCGACGAATTAAAGACCAGAAAGAAGAAAGAGCCAAAGCATTGGTTCGGAACTGGGCCTCACCCCAGTGTTACCCACACATCACGACGGATACAATCAATTTACTCAAGCAACACGATGAAGAGTATATCGTAGAGCAGTTGAATGTGATCAAAGATTTCTCATCCCTCCCCCATCTCATCAACGCAAACTCTCGCTACAATGTCAATTATCCACTATCGACGATCACCAGACGCATGTCATACCAGTTTTGATAGATTCAGGATGCACAGATTTTATCATTGACGAAGCCTTTGTTCGGCAACACAACATTTCCACAAAACCACTGCCAACTCGTGTTATTGTCTCAAACACCGATGGAACCAAGAATCGCACTGGACCTTTAACGGAATATGTGACACTTCGCCTAACTGTGGCAGGTCGCACGGAATTAATGGACTTCCTGGTCACTGGACAAAGAGAGGCCAGAATTTTATTAGGACACGACTGGCTACGACGCACGAATCCCGACATCAACTGGCAAACCAACACCATCACGTACCCTTCTGATGATATGGAGTATCACCCTGAAGACGGAGATAGAGTCATCGCTGTAGACTTACAGAGCAGGATTGACAAAATTTCCGTCGAAAGCAACGTATCTCAGACCAAAAGCCAACAGATTGCGGAAGAATCAGAACGAGCAAAGTCAACACTCACGTTCAGAGACGTCGTTCCCCCGTTTTATCATCATTTTGAGCCAGTATTCACAAAAGCGTCATTTGACAAACTACCCCCACGACGAGTCTGGGACCACGCAATTGAACTCCTACCAGAAGCCAAAGGTCTAGACTGTAAAACGTATCCACTTAACCGAGACGAACAAATTCATCTTGACGAATTCTTGAAAGAGAACCTGGAGACAGGGAGGATCAGAGTATCGAAATCCCCTTACGCATCCCCGTTCTTCTTTATCAAGAAAAAAGACGGATCTCTCAGACCGGTACAAGACTATCGGAAACTCAACGCCCTCACGATTAAAAACCAATATACGTTACCCCTCATTCCAGAATTGATAAACCGACTCAAAGGAGCGAGATTCTTCACCAAGCTGGATGTCCGTTGGGGATATAATAATGTTCGAATCAAAGAAGGAGATGAGCACAAGGCCGCCTTCAGAACTAACAGAGGATTGTTCGAACCTCTGGTTATGTTCTTCGGACTCACGAACTCCCCAGCCACCTTTCAGACAATGATGGACCGACTTCTCCGAGACCTAATCAACGAAGGATCAGTTATTGTATACCTCGACGACATCATGATATTCACCGACTTGTTAGAAGAACACAGGAAGATTGTATCCAAAGTTCTTCAGATACTCGCAGACAATCAATTATATCTCAAACCAGAGAAATGTGAGTTTGAAAAGAAAGAAGTCGAATATCTGGGAATGATCATCTCCCATGATACAATTCGTATGGACCCGCTAAAAGTACAGGCAGTTGCAGAATGGCCGATACCACGAACAAAGAAGGAGTTACAGTCATTCCTAGGGTTTTCAAACTTTTACAGACGATTCATCAGAGACTACGGAAAGATTGCCAAACCGCTGACGATTCTCACCGGAAAGGTAGACTGGGAGTGGGCTGAAGACCAACAACGAGCGTTCGACGTTCTCAAAAAGACAATCACCACTTCGCCCACACTCGCAATCCCTAACGACGAGGATCCATTCAAAGTTGAATGTGATGCCTCCAACTACGCCACGGGAGCAGTGTTATCCCAGCAGCAAGAAGGGAAATGGAGACCGGTCGCATTCCTGTCAAAATCGATGAACCCTGCAGAGAGAAATTACGCTATCTGGGATAAAGAGATGCTAGCGGTAATGCATGCGTTAGAAGAATGGCGACACCTCCTCATGGGAGCTAAACACCAGTTCACCATATTCACCGACCATCAAAACCTCACCTACTTCCGAGACCCCCAGAAGGTAAACAGATGACAAGCTAGGTGGATGGACACACTAGCGAGATATGATTTCAAGCTAGAGCATGTGAAAGGCTCGGCGAACACGAAAGCGGACCTACTTAGCCGAAGAGTAGACCATCCGAGAGGCGAGAGAGACAACGAAGGACAAGTCCTTCTACCTCAGCTCGCGGAAGCAAACATTTATACTATGGAGGACGTGTTAGAAGAACACTACCTGGACGAGCTGCTAGCTTTGCAGCACAAACTAGACAATTACGTAGTAAGGAAGTTGAAAGAAGATCCAAAGGTTTGGAAGAAACGAGACGGAATCGTCTGGATAGGAAATGAGAAAGAAGACGAGTTGACGTTAGGGTCCTTCAAAAACAAAATCTACGTACCCCAAGATCCAAAGTTGAGGGCACGTATTATCGAAGAAGAACATGACACGAGCCTCAGCGGACACCCAGGAGAAAGAAAGACGCACGAAGGAGTAAACCGATCATTCTGGTGGCCTAGCCTCAGGAGAGATATCAGGAAATATGTCGCAGGATGCGAGATATGTCAGAGAACAAAGTCGCATCGTCAAAAACCGCATGCTCCCCTCCATCCAAATCCGATCCCTGATCGTCCTTGGCAGATAATCACAACGGATCTCATCGGAGCATTACCAGAGTCAAACGGATACGACGCTATCCAGGTTTTTGTTGACAGATTCTCGAAAATGGCTCACTTCGTACCAACGCACGTTACTCTTGATTCGTTAGGCTACGCCAAACAACTACGAGATTCGGTTATACAACTACACGGCATCCCGGAAAAGATTATATCGGATAGAGGACCTCAATTCATGTCGAACTTCACCAAGGACTTCTATCAAACCCTTGGGATTGAACCCGGTCTGTCAACAGGTTACCATCCCCAAACTGACGGGCAGTCCGAACGAATCAATCAAGACCTGGAACATTACCTACGCACGTTCATTAATCACCGACAAGACGACTGGGCTGATTGGCTAGCCATTGCCGAGTTCACATACAACAATCATCTTCACTCCGCAACCAATCAGACCCCCTTCTTTGTAAATTATGGTTCTCACCCTCGTAAAGGAACCGGTCAGAAGCCTTCAGGGCGCTCGCAAGCTGCCGAAGATTTCGCAACCTCTATGACAAAACTACACAAACAAACTCGACAATCATTATTACTCGCGAATCAAAACCTCAAAAAGTACTATGACCGGAAACGCACGGAAGCACGAGAATATCACAAAGGAGATAAGGTGTGGTTAGAGGGAACTCATAACTCCACCGATTGACCGATGAAGAAGTTAGATGACAAACGATTTGGCCCGTTTACGGTAAAGGCAAAAGTCGGCCCATCCGCTTATCTCCTTGATGTCCCTAGATCCTGGAAGGCGATCCATCCCGTATTCAACGAAATCCTCTTATCACCGTATCACACGCCGGAGTTCCCTAATCAACCTCGTACCTCGAAACCTCCGCCGATCCAAGTTGATGGCGCAGTTGAATACGAAGCCGAAGAAATCATTGCTTCTCGGCCCACTAAACTCAAAGGGGCTAAGCTCGATTACTTCGTCCATTGGAAGGGATACCCGATCACAGAGAGGACGTGGGAACCCGACCACCATTTAAAAAATTCCCCCTCGCTTATTGCCACCTTCCACCGCAAACAACCCGCCGCCCCACGTGTCATCGCCTCCGCCGCTTTACGATTTTGTCCTTACGAAAATTTCACTACTACAACCGAAAAACCCCGCTTCTTCGACTGGATCACGAACCGCTTCACGGACTGCGGCGCTAAGATTCTTGGGACAAGAATATAAAAGGGGGGGGTAATGTAAGGACCATTTTATTATTTCCTTATCTTCACTATGTCTTGGTTCTCGAACGCTTTTCCCATTACGCCTCTGGCTCTAGGGCTAGAGGTATCGTTTGCCGTTCTACTTCTCATAGCCCTCACAGGCTTTCTTAACCATTGTTACCATTTTATATCACAGATCAGAGACTGGGCATCGCTCCCAGCCAGCCAGCACACTGGGTAGGGACTGGTAGTAGGCATCTCGCCAACCAGCTCCAAGCCCCAGTAAAGCCTGGTAATACTAATAACGCCTTATCTAGAATGGTACCTCATCATGAGGATACGGTTCCTGACCACGCGTGACAATCTTCTATTATTAGTACAAGTCTCTCACCTGCTGATTAATCAAGCCAGAAGTCATACAATAGTTACTCTCCATTTTTCTTATTGGTAGATTAATTCCTCAGACCACTTTTCGTATATTCTCCTTTCGGTCTGAGGAACGGACAGTTCCCTATATAAAGACGTACCTATTCATGTATAGCTCCTTAGCTTTCTATTACTGAATTTACCCGCTTTACTCCTCAACAAGAACCTTTGAAGCTTACCTCTCAAAAGTCCTCTACTCGCTATATTTCTAGCGTCTGTCGACCTCAAAGCTCATTGGACCCTTACTCCCTGCAGGTGCAGAAGGAGATAGGTTTAGTTTTTGTTATAGTTTATCGTTGCCTCACAATTACCAAGGACATGCATGAGCATGCCACCAGACTCCTTCAAAACTGTCATCTTGAAATCTTTGATACTGTTGGTGACACTGGTACAAACATACTCCCATCCTTTGTGTTCCTTCCCAACTTAACCATCAAACTCCTCATGGACAGCCATGAGTTGATCTACTCAATCAACATGATTGCTAATCTCAGCCCAAAGTCTTCATTAAGCCCTATTTGGGCCTTGTGTGGACCACAATGCAGGCTATAAAATCTGACCTTTGGTGTACATGTGACATCAACCAAGCCAATATTAATGCAGAGGCCCAAGCACAAAGGCAAGAAATGTGAGGCATTGGTTGTGGACAAACTCAAGGGCGAGGACATCTCTATTATAGAGACAGGTACAACAAGGTAAATTTCTCAGCTGTGCCGTTGTAGAGTTGACTTAGACGCTGGCATAGTAATCCCTTTATTTCCCAACATATCAATCCAGTTCTACGACAAACCATGCATCAATATGCAACAGTCCGCAGAGTCCATGTTTGCCGATACATAGAGTCCGCATTTGCGGACATATAGGGTCCGCACTTTTTGGACTTTGGACCCGTCAGACGAGGAGCTAATTCAGCACTCCACGCACGTGCAAGACTCCACATGGACTCCAGAGCATTACAACTGTCCACAGATCAACTACCCCTTTCCTTTTATGGAATATAGGAGTTGTCCCTCGTGGTATGGAACAGTCTGGATGTCGGACTAGCAGGATATGACTCGCTTTTTCTTACATTTTCATATGGGCACTTTCTAATGTTTATCCTTTGTTTCTCCTATTGGTTCTCATATGTTTTACACTATTTTTGCTATTTCCTTTTTGGTACTGCTATAAAACTGTACTTCCAAAAGGAAGGAAATCTATCTTTTGATCCCCCATATACTCAGAATTTGTCTGAATAAGTCGCCATACTCAATTCAGAATTGTTGTAGACGTCCCACAGCCATATAACCAAAATTTCCAACAAAGCACCGAGCTTGTTGTGATGTTCTGTTCGTATAGACCCAAAATGCGGACTCTCAGGAGTCATTGCAGTGTCGTATTCTCCACTCTATATTCATCCTCAGCTCATATTATCACTCCCACACTTGTATTATCGCCTTTCCAGCAAGATCACAACTTGCTGTGATGTATCCACTCCGTTTAGACTCAAAAGTGCGGACTCTGCAAACTGACCTGTGGACCTGCGGACTCACCTGCGGACCCACTCCATTGTAGTCTTCAGCACTTTCTTCTGAATCCCTTGGTTGATCCCTGCGGGTTGAACGACGCATAGGTGTTTGGACATAAGGACTCTACTCAGTTCTCTCCCAGACGCCTTTAGCAATTTTACCCCGTCTATTTTCTGTATTCTTGCTTAGCTTAGCTGATGGCCTTTTCCCAGAGACAATGTTCTTGTATACAATGCAAGATGGAACTCTCATACTCAGCAAGGCCCTATCATTTCTGACATTGTCTGGAAGCCTCTCCAGTCATTTGTGGATTTCCAGACTTTGACATCACCCAAATGCAAGCGGGGGGCCACTCTCAGCCAAATGATTGAGTCATCTCAGCAGCCTCACATGTGCAAACACAATAATGTAAGCATTCTAATACTAGTGAACATAACACACACTAATCTTGATCTACAGAACCAGGAGAACATGGTCATTGGACCCTAGTTACCCTTGTCATCAATATCAGTGTCTTCATCCCCTACATCCTCACCATCACTTCCTAACTTGTTTATCTGCAGTACAGCAGTGTGCTCATCTTCCTCATCATCAGCATAATCTAGTATCAAATCTCCTTTGACAATAAATCAATTACCAAGGTTAGGCAAGTCTTGTAAAAACTCATGTTCTTCCTCAATTTCACTTTCAGCATCACTCTTGCTACTCCACTGCTCTTCTGTTGGTGCAGTTTGAGCCTCCATTCTATTTCTATCTCCACCATTGTGTACTTTCTGTATGCCAACCATCAAGCCACAAGACTTGGTTGTCTTGTCAATCCACTTTTTGAGTCTCCCATGTGCTAGCTTTTTTATGCCTCTTTCAAAATTGCATACTTCACATTCCCCATAATCTCTTTGTTGCCATAAGAAGTGAAGCTCGGTTTCACAGTAGGTTTGAAGTAATGTTTCTATTTTGGGGTTATTATGAGGCTCAGGTTCTTTGTTTGTGCGGTGGGCAAGTCCCAAACTTGTCAGCATATCCTTCTTCATTTGAGCTAATTCATTAACATTTTGTGAAATGATGTTACACATGAGCTCACCATCCCACAGAATATCAATATGGACCAAGAATTCTTGAAGGAGGAGGTTGTAGTGCTCTTGCAATAAGTCACCGGCACCACAAAAGGATTCAGGCATTCCCTTCAAGTTAACCAGCCAGTTTTTCAAGATGGCATCTCGTAGTTTAGGACTGCATTCATATTGGAGTGTGCATATCATCTCAAGAAGATATGTGGAGTACTTTGTGTGCAAGGAACCTGCAAAACTGAATACTATCACTTTCAAGTGCTTGTATACCCATTCAGTGTTGCCATCAGTGACAGCATAGGCAAATTCACGAGCTACAAGGCTGTCTGACATGAAATGTATGGCTTGTGCCAGTGTGCGGTCCCCCTCAAAGGGCTGATTAGTCTCTTCTGTTTTTTCCTCTGGGCCAGCCCTTTTTTTCTGCTTTTTTCTGTCTGACTGTTCCTTTTTTTGTTTGCAGCTTGCTTGCTCTGGCATGTGGCCAAAGTCACAGAAATATAAGGGTCTTGGGGGACCACAGTGATCCAAGATTCACCAACAATGGCTTGTTAGGTTGATGTGCTTGCAGTGCATTTTCATAGCTATTGATACTATTATATTTCAGTGCAGGGTCACACCCACACTATTCAATGGATCAAAACTTGGGAGTTCATTGCAGATTGCCATGGTTTTGAAATGGATAAACAGGTCTGGCTCTGAATTGTACCCTGTTATTAATGAGCCAACAACACAAACTCAATGTCACAATAACTCACCTCCAGCAATCAAGCATGCATGCATCCAGGACTACATTCACAAAGTGGAATGCAGGATAGTAGTCTACTTTTTTTAGATTTGTAGGAGGCTTGCACCCAATCTGATTGGCGTTATAGGAAAGTGTTGACAGATCATTTGCGAGTGTATCCCCCCAATGTGTTCCAAAGAAACAACTGAGGTTAGTCCATTCAGTATGCCACAGTTCAACTTGAAGGATTGGCTGGATGAGTTTGAAACTGTTGAACATGTTATTATGGAATTGTAGGTATTTTTTCATCTGTATTAACTTTTCAAACATCAACCCATCCCCTCCCACCAATATTAGGTGTGGATGGTAGCTTTGCAAGTCCTGGCCCATTTGTGAGAAAAAGTTGAGCATGGCATCCCTTAGCTCAGTTGTCAGAATTTTGTTGAAACCATTGGTTGCAAGGGGATGAACTTTTGTTTTCTGAGGAGTATATAAGTCTTCTTTTTAATTTACTGATGGTCAGGTGATAGGTGACTTGGGATTCTACAGCCAGTGTTGCATTTGGGATACTAATACAACAACTTGGTCAAAAGATGGTTTGGTGAGTTTTATAGCTGCTTATTTTGTTTTCTGACTTTAAGTAACACGCTATATGACTGTAGAGCTTTATCCAACACATTTTGACATATTTTGACTCGCCAAAACACCTTTCCAAGATGAGTGGCCCAATGGTGATATAAACACTATTTCAGTGCTGGTGACGCATATTTTAGTACCAATATATGATGATTCTGGTGAGTAGATTTTGCTGGAGCTTCATTATAAGTTAATGTTAACTGATATGTTATTTAGTAACTATCTGTGGTTATGTCCAACGTGAGCAACAGCCAACTGGACAGATGCGGCAACATCTGGCAAATAGTAATAGCCTTAACCCCACTATCCAGCTAATGACAGTGCCAGTAAAGCGCGAAAAGAATAATGGTGGTATCATATCACAGAAAACCACAGGTATGAGCACTCTGTTACAATAACATATTTTTGGACCTTTAATTTTCATTCTCCTCTTTAACCTTTCACTGTAGTTTTCACACACTGTGCCATGCGGCACTTTCCCTTTGGTTCAAACTCCTCTTTCTCGCGCTGCACTGCCTTTATTCCTATTTCAGCTACAAATCTCTCATGCAGTGGAGCTGGTCACACCGGCTGCGCCCTCTGACATCATCAGCCACTGCTTTTATCAACTGTACAGTACATAAGTACAAACACTCTGTATTAGTATATATACCCCGATGGACCCAGGAGACTCCTCAGCGAGTCCTCCTGTTGTATACCAACAAACTCACTGCAGCCTAAGGGGTAACCACTCCCTCTTCACTACCTTTATAGTGTGTCTTAGTGTGCGCCAGAGTAACTAACTCTTGGTTGTTACACACTCTCAACCAGCAATATATTCTGTGCTCAGGTCTCTCCCTAGCTGGACCACAAAATGAAGGAGGCGAACTTATCTGGGATGGCTGGCCAGATGGCAGCTTCTTAGAGACGTACAACTGGGAATTTGTGAAGAGGACAGGATGGCTTCAAGTGCACTGGGCATACTGGGTAAATGGTGGTGACCACAAAGGAGATAAGGGTGCAGAGAAGTGGGAAGGAGGAAAGCAGTCAACAAAAAAATGCTGGGGTATGATTACATGCAGTAATAAAGACTGCTGCATCATAACCAGGCCACATTCAAAGCCTTCACTTATCCAAGATCAACTGATAGAGAAGTGCCGATGTGGTGGTACCCTTTTACATCATACATGTCCAATCACTTTGACATTATGGACATTACAACAAAAAACTATTGGAACCAAAGCAGTCATAGACTCAGGGGCGACAGACAACTTTATGGATACAAAATTTGCAATCAAACACAGCCTGCCCCTTAACAACTCAATGTACCCATCACGTGCAAGAATGTAAATAGAACCATCAGCAACAGATGAAAGATCACCCACTACACCTATCAATGGATAGAAGCAGGAGGAAGGAACACCATGTGTAAATTTCTTATCACCGGACTAGGAGGAGAAGACATTCTCCTTGGATACCCGTGGCTCCATAAGGTCAACCCTAATATGCTATTTGCACAATCCAATCCCACTCTAACCAATCCACAATTTGCAGCATCACAATTGATCAGCCAGAGCTATTAATCAACTACATACATGAAACTCGGATTTTTGCGAAAACTAACACCACTATGGAGTTAGCAATCCAAAACAATATTGGGAAGAGGATAATGAAACTACCCAAAGTCTACAAAGAATTTGCACAAGTCTTTGGCAAGAAGGCTTCCAAAAGATTGCCCAAAAGAAGGACATACGATCACACCATAAACCTAAAACCAGAATTCAGACCCAAAGATTGCAAAATCTGTCCTTTTTCACCAAAAGAAAACACAGCACTAGAAGAATTCCTTAACAACAATCTTTGAAAAGGATATATTAGACCAAGAAAATCTCCGATGGCTTCCCCCTTCTTCTATATAGACAAGAAGGATGGATCTTTACAATCCTATCAAGATTATTGTCAACTCAACAAACAAACAGTCTGCGATCCCTATCCATTACCCATAATCCCTGGCCTCATAGATAAACTCCGTGGAGCATCACATTTCACAAAACTAGACCTATGTTGAGGATATAACAATGTTCGGATAAAAGAAGGAGACAAATGGAAAGCGGCATTTAAAACCAGGAAAGGACTCTTTGAACCCACAGTCATGTTCTTCGGCATGTGCAATTCCCCGGCCACCTTCCAACGCATGATGAAAAACTTCTTTGCAGACATAATAGATGAAGGATGGCTCATCATATACATGGATGATATGCTTATATTCAGCAAGGGACCAGAAGAACACGTCCTACGGACAAAACAGGTATTGCAACGCCTGCATGATAACGACCTATACCTGAAACTAGAAAAATGCATGTTTGATGTAAATGAGGCATGATCATTTGTCACAACCAGGTAAAAATGGACCCCGTCAAGCTGGCAGGAATCAAAGACTGGCCTACCCCAACCAATGTCCACGTAGTCCGAAAATTCCTTGGCTTTGGTAACTTCTATCACAAAGTTATTGGCCACTACTTGGAACTCGCAAGGCCACTCAATGCGCTATTAGAAAAAGGAAGGATTTGGAACTGGACCACAACAGAAGAAAAGGCATTTACACTACTAAAATACTGTTTTAACGTAGCGCCAGTCACCCAAATGCCAGACCCAAACAAACCATCCCAAATTGCGGCGGATGCATCGAAACACGCAACTGGAGCAGTTTTGAACCAGCCCAATGACAATGGAGTTTGGCATCCATGTACCTTCTTCTCCAAAATGTTATCCCCAGCCAAAAAAAACTACCAAATTTACGACAAGAAACTACTTGTCACGACTTGAACCAGAAGCGCTAGTCTGAGCGCTAGTTTCTTTTTTCATTTTCTTTGACATCTGATCACATGACAGATAAGATATGTTAAGCTGCTGTTTTAGCGCGGATAACATAATACGTAGTTATATCAGATCACGTGATCATCACGTGACAAGAGTCTAGAACCATTACAAAGAACATCAGTCAGCGCCTCATGGCTAACTCTCAGAAACATATATATAGTAGACCACCATGTACATACTTTCCTCAGTTGTTGATTAATTCTCAATCGCTACTTGAAACGCTACTTGTTTGATTTGAGCTTTTATCCCTCCGTTAACTCGGTATAGGGGATAGAGGTTTTACACTACTTGCCATCATCAGAGGACTAGAAGAACGGAAATATTACATTTTAGGGAGTGCCCACATGGCAGAAATCTTAACAGATCACAAGAACCTCATGTATTGGCAAGAAGCCAGAAAATTGACGCCACGGCAAAGATGTTGGCAACTTCTACTTTCACAATATAATTATACCCTGAAACACGTACCTAGAACGCATATGACAATTCCAGATAAATTTTCCAGAAGACCAGACTTGTACACAGAAGAAGAAGAAGACACACCACTACTTCCAAAAACTGTTTTTGCCGGAGTAGCTGTAATAATCCACAGTGGACTCAGAGAGTACAGAAAAGCAAATTGGACCAGCCGGGGATTGAACCCAGGACCTCTGCCTATATATGGCGGTGCTCTAACCAACTGAGCTACCAGCCCTTGGATATCAACACTCAATTGCACAATGTTGTCTAACAAGGCCCAGGCTTTGACCTTGACAATTTCAACAGTAGCAAACACTGACCCATTTCCATTACATTCCCACAGGAACCGAAAGAAAAGCATGCATGCATTCAGCAACAACATGATTTGTGTTACAATTTGACATACTAGCACCTACTTGCGCTTCACTTTTTGTACTTTTACTTTTCATTCTCCATGTCACATGCTAAACATTAGACTTTAAACTTTATTTACAACTGTACAGTACCTCATGTATTTTAGTATATATACAGGAGCAATACATGGGGAGGGACTCAGCAAGTCCTCCTGTTGTCTACCAACAACTAACTCGGTCCTACCAAATGGGTAACCACTCCCACCTTTTCCTCTTCTTCTGCTTGTTGTAGTTGTGCTCCAGTACCCCAAGACTGTGTCTTGTTGGTGTTGTCACAATTTGGTAACTGCCGGACACCCAGGACAACTAAAAATCTAAAAATAACCCAATTAGTAACAAGACATTACTACTGGCCGTGTATGACGCAGATGATCAAAGATTATGTCACAGGATGCGCCATGTGCCAACAAAGCAAGGCAATCACCAACCCCGCCAAAATACCCATGCAGCCAATTCCAGGCCCAAAAACCTTGGAACCATTCAAGAACCTATCCGTTGATTTCATCACAAATCTACCAGAAAGCAACGGATACAACAGTCTCATGGTTGTGGTGGACCACAGCCTTACAAAGGGGTAATACTATCACCTTGCAAGAAAACCATTGACGCACTAGAAACGGCGAAATTATTCCACCAACACGTGTTTAAAAGATTTGGACTACACAACAAACTCATATCCGATAGAGAACCGCAGTTTGCATCAGAAGTTACCAAAGAACTAGCTAGGCTACTCAACACGGAAGTAAATCTATTGACCACATATCACCCCCAATCAGATGGAGAAGCCGAAAGGGTAAACCAGGAGATAGAAACATATTTGCGGATCTTCTGCAACAACTCACCACACACTCGTGAACAAACCAACATTGTAGACGCCACTGAATTGATGTCAGATAGGCGCACTTACTTTTATCTATTCTATCAGTCTAACACCACCTGCCCTAACACCACCTACCCTTTGGATACATTCCATTGCTGGCAACAATCACTCCTTGTTGCCGACGAACTACATGCAGTCACCCTCTCACTAGCTTTATTAGTAGAAGAGCTTACGCGGGACAACAATTCCGTATTGAGTATTGGAGCAACTTTGCTCATGGAACACTTGCAGATAGAATCCCTGGAACAACGCTTGAGGAAGAACTGTTACAAACTGTATTCACCATGAACTTTTATTTCTCTTACAAGTAGCTACACTCCGCTACCTACCTATACTTCCCACATACATTGCCTGTTACAGTACCACCCGTCTTTGTTTGCTCAACACAAACACCTACCCTAAAGTAGACACTATATATATAGGCCTGTATTGTAGTTACTATCTCCAATATGATTGTACACTTCAACAGTGTAACTTGGTATTCATCAGTCAAAACCCTCATCATCAGAATATGTCTCAAACTCGTTCTCAACGAGCTTATCAGAAACTACTTGTATATCTGAAACCCAGTGTTACCAGGCTTGCACATTTCAAGCGTAACAAAAACTGCGAGAATGGAGAGAGAGAAGCGGTCAAAGTCTTCCTATGTTTAGGAGGCCAGACAGTATGCAACAACGCAAGGAATATCCTCGCCCAACAAGGGTATCTCACCTCCCCTCCCTCAGATTTGTTGTCCCTACCAGCCATAACGGGACACACATTTCCAGGGCGCCACCCCCCACACTTGCCATCGCTGCCTCCACCAGTATCTTGCCCATCATTGCCAGATCTTGTTCTACCCATGCCCACTCCACCATCCCCAGCACCTTCCTCCATAACCGATGTCGATGATGAGAACTGCTGTTAGAAAACCACACACAAAATAAACTAACACACAATCCTCCCAGATTCCATGGAACTTGTTTATGGGCTTTGCCTCCTAGAACAGTGGAGTGGTCTGGTTGTTCGTGGGGTGGTACATATAAAGATCCTTCAAAGTAAAACCCAGAGATGTATGGGTGTGGGTTTTGAGGAGGAGGGATAGTTGGAATATAGAAAGATAGGGGGCGTTGTGGCGAGTATAGACAAGCACTACCTTGCTAATTGTAGC